AGTAATCCCCAGAGGCTGAGGCAAGAGGCTCACTCAAGTCCAGGTGTTTAAGGTCAGCTTGGGCAACACAGTCAGATCTCATTTCAAAAAGAAACTTCTCCAATTTACTGTTGCCATCAGTTTCTTCCACTAACAGTCTGTAGGCCTAGGGACATGATACTCCAACTATTACCAAGATGTTTCTCTACTATAGGGCATATATCCAACACCACCATGCTGGGAAGACAGGAGCTAACACATCCCGCTGGAGTCCCCCTTGTGGAATTGAAGTTTCTTGAAGGAGATGGGCCATCAGGCCACATTCTGTTTTAGATCCCCATATCTCTATTGTTAAGTCTAGTATGGAGACATTTGTTGAATAATCTGAATGACTAGGTCACTATTCGTTTAATAAAATGGGCTTCAATCCACTCACAATACTTTATTACATTAGTCACACTGATGAACACCGTGGCATCCACCCTTATACCTACGTCTTTCTGTTGAAATAAAAGCCTGGGTCCCTGGCGGGGCAAGTGCTCTACCATTGAACTACACCCCAGCCCTTGTTTTTTTGTTGTTGATTGTTCACATATTTCTTTTGTCTTGTTTCTTTTTAAACACAGAGTCTTATTATGAGTTCAGTCTGGCCTGGAACTCAAAATCTTCCTGCCTGAGCCTTCTGATTGCTGAGATCCTAGATGTGTCCACTATACCCTCCATCAATGCCTTGTTCTTTCAGCCCGAAAATGTCTAGAACTTTGGCATGAAATCACCTTAGAAACAGTGTCCCACAGTTACTCAAATTAAGGCCACTCGGTTTAGAGAATTATTTTGTATCAATGTGGTGCTCAAGGTGTGAGTTCTGGCTTCAGTTTTACCGTCGTCCAAATGCCAATATTTAGCATAACTAAAATGCAATGGAGAGAGGTCTGGGTATGTGGCTCAGTGGTAGAACACTAGCCTAGAATGTGTGAGGCCCTGGGCTCCATCCTAAACCAGAGACAGAGACAGAGAGACAGAGACAGAGACAGAGAGGGGGAAAGAGAGAGGGGATGGAGCATTACAAGAGGAGAGAGAGACAGAAAGACAGGCTGGATGTGGTACACACACCTGCAATCCCAGCCCTCAAGAGGCTGAGGCAAGGAATACCATGAATTAAAGGCCAGCCTGAGCTACATAGGTGAGACCCTATCACCAAATAAAGTATAAAATTTCAATACAAGCCGAGCATGGTGGCGCACACCTTTAATCCCAGCACTCGGGAGGCAGAGGCAGGCGGATCTCTGTGAGTTCAAGGCCAGACTGGTCTACACAGTGAGTTCCAGGCCAGCTGGGGCTACAGGGAGACCCTGTCTCAAAAAGACCAAAAAGATAAAAAAAAGGAAAAGAAAAACTAAAACAAAGATGAGGGCTGGTGAGATGGTTCAGCAGATAATGGCACTTGCCACTAAGCCACTAAGCCTGATACCTGAGTTTGATCCCTGAAACCCACACAATGGAAGGAGAGAACCAACTCCTGAAAGTTGCCTCTGACCGCCACAAGAATGCTACAGCATGTCCAAGTCTCCTCCCTCCAAATGAATAGATGTAATAAAATTTTTTTAGGGCTAGAAAGCCCTAAAGGGTTAAGAGCACTTGTTGCTGTTCTTCCAGAGGACCCAAGTTCAATTCCCAGCAACCATATCAGGCAGCTCACAGCTACCTGTAACTATAGTTCCTGGAGGATCCAATGCCTCTGGCCTCCTCGGCACCTACACTCACAGACACACAGACACACAGACACACACCTCTGAAAAATAAAGCTAAAAATCTTTAAATTTGCCTGGCATGGTGGCACACGCCTTTAATCCCAGCACTCGGAGGCAGAGGCAGGCAGATGTCTGTGAGTTCAAGGCCAGCCTGGTCTACATAGTGAGTTCCAGGACAGCTGGAGCTACAGGGAGACCCTGTCTCAAAAAGATTAAAAAAAAAAATCTTTAAATTTTTTTAATCGACTTATGAAATTGATATATAAACTATCCACAAAAAGCAAAATAGAAGGCAGATCAACAGCTGCCTCGCAGCTATAGGATGGAAGTGGAGTGACTGCCAATTGGTGTAAGAACTTCATGTGCTGATAAAAATGTTCCAAGATAGATTTATGGGACTAGTTATACAACTTTCCCAATATACTAAAAAAATCCTTGACCTGTACATTATAATGGATAGTTTTATGGCTTTTGCATCTCTTTTGTGACAGTGCCTCATGTAACCAGATTGACCTCAAACCAAGAAGCTAAATATTACCTTGCACTCTTGTGACACTCCCAGCTTCCCCTCCTGAGTGCTGGAATTTGGAATTAGATACGTTCCACCACACTCAGTTCCTAAAGTACACTTCAATAAGGCTGGTTTTTTGGGGGGAGGAGTTATACGGGATCTAAACATATTCAAGATAAAGAGAATCATGCAACGGTCTCCTGGAGAAGTCTTACCTGAGATTCCTTTAATCCCTGCTTTCCCCACCAAATTGGGTTGGTATCGACTATGATAACCAGAAGATTCAACTCATCTTCTGCAAATATTAACAAGAGATAAAATTTTAAAATATTAGTTTCATGAAGGTGAATCAAAGATAACATTCCTGCCAGGCGTGGTGATGCACGCCTTTGATCCCAGCACTTGGGAGGCAGAGGCAGGCAGATCTTTGTGAGTTCGAGGCCAGCCTGGTCCACATAGTGAGTTCCAC